ATGAGTTAAAGCATACTGCACAATCTCTGTTACATTTCATTTCGCTCTAATAAAGAGAAGTGTCCGCGTGGCCTAATGGATATGGCATCTGACTTCGGATCCGAAGATTGTAGGTTTGAGGCCTGTTGCCAACGGTTTTTTTTTCTTGTTATTTTTCTCCAGGTGGTGAATGCGTTAATGCATGCGGCACCTTCTCTGTTGCATTCCAAATTGCTCTAATAAAAGAAAGCGTCCGCATGGCCTAATTGGATATGGCGTCTGACTTCGGATGAGAAGATTGCAGGTTCGAGTCCTGTCGCGGACGGTTTTTTTTCCTTGTTATTTTTTATTCACGGTGGTGAATGCGTTAAAGCATGCTGTACCTTCTCTGTTACATTTATTTCTCACAAACAAACAAAAGTGTCCGCGTGGCCTTATGGATAAGGCGTCTTACTTCGGTTCAGACGATTGCAGATTCGTGTCTTTTGGCGGACAGTTTTTTTTCCTCGGTTTTTTTTATTCCCGGTGGTGAATGAGTTAAACATGCTGTACCTTCTCTGGTACATTTAATGTCTCACTAACAAACGAAAGTGTCCACGTGGCCTAAGGGATAAGGCGTCTGACTTCGGATCAGAAGATTGCAGGTTCGAGTCCTGTCGTGGACGGCTTAGTTTCCTCGTTATTGTTTCCCGGTGATGAATGAGTTAAAGCATACTGCACCTTCTTTGTTACATTCCATTTCGCTCTAATAAAGAGAAGTGTCCGCGGGGCCTAATGGATAAGGCATCTGACTTCGGATCAGAATATTGCAGGTTTGAGGCCTGTCGCGGACGGCTTCTTTTTCCTTGTTATTTTTTTCCTGGTGAGCAATGAGTTAACGCATGCTGCACCTTCTCTGTTGCATTTTAAATTGCTCTAATAAAAAAAAGTGTCCGCGTGACCTAATGGATAAGGCAACTGACTTCGGATCAGAATATTGCAGGTTCGAGTCCTGTGGCGGATGGGTTTTTTTTGTCGGTTTTTTTTTATTTCCTGTGGTGAATGAGTTAACGCATGCTGCACCTTCTCTGTTGCATTTCAAATTGCTCTAATAGAAGAAAGCGTCCGCGTGGCCTAATCGATAAGTCGTCTGACTTTGGATCAGAATATTGCAGGTTCGAGTCCTGTCACGGACGATTTTTTTTCTCGTTATTTTTTTCCCCGGTGGTGAATGAGTGAACGCATGCAGCTCTGTTACATTTCATTTCGCTCTAATAAAGAAAAATTGTCCGCGTGGCCCAATCAACAAGGCGTTTGACTTCAAATCAGAAAATTGCAGGATCAAGTCTTGTGGTGGACGGTTTTTTTTTCCTTGTTATTTTTTCCCGTTGGTGAATGAGTTAAAGCATCCTGCACCTTCTCTGTTACATTTCAGTTTGCTCCAACAAAAGAGAGTGTGCGCGTGGCCTAATGGATAAAATGTTTGACTTCTGATCAGAATATTGCAGGTTCGAGTCATGTGGAGGATGGTTTTACTTTCCTCGTTATTTTTTCTCGTTGGTGAATGAGTTAAAGCATGCTGCACCTTCTCTGTTACATCTCCATTCGCTCTAATAAAAGAAAGTGGCCGCGTAGCCTAATAGATAAGGCGTTTGACGTCTGTTCAGATTATTGCAAATTCGAGTCATGTGGTGGACAGTTTTTTTTCCTCGTTATTTTTTGTTCACGGTGGTAAATGCGTTAAAGCATACTGTACCTCCTCTGTTACATTTCTTTCTCACTATCAAACGAAAGTGTCCGGGTGGCGAAATGGATACGGCAACTGACTTCGGATCAGAACATTACAAGTTCGAGTCCTGTCGCGAACAGTTTTTTTCCTCGTAATTTTCTTCCCAGTGGTGAATGAGTTAAAGCATGCTGCACCTTCTATGTTACATTTCATTTTGCTCTAATAAAGAGAAGTGTCCGCGTGGCCGAATGGATAAGGCTTCGGATAAGAAGATTGCATGTTCGAGTCATGTCACCGACGGTTTTTATTCGTTGTTATTTTTTTCCTGGTTGTAAATGAGTGAACGCATGCCGGATCTTCTCTGTTATATTTCAATTCGCTCTAATACAAGAAAGTGTCCGCGTGGCCTAATGGATAAGGCGTCTGACTTCGGATCAGAAGATTGCAGGTTCGAGTCCTGTCGCGGACGGTTTTTTTTTTCCTCGTTATTTTTTATTCACGGTTGTGAATGCGTTAAAGCATGCTGTACCTTCTCTGGTACACTTATGTTTCACACTAACAACTAAAGTATCGGCGTCGCCTAATGGATAAGGCGTCTGACTTCGGATCAGAAGATTGCAGGGTTCGAGTCCTGTCGCGGCGGTTTTTTTTTTCTCGTTATTTTCTTCCGAGTGCTGAATGAGTTAAGCATGCTGCAGCCTTCTCTGTTACAGTTCATTTTTCGCTCTCATAAACGAATTGTCCGCGTGGCCTAATGAATAAGGCGTTCTGACTTCGGATCAGAAGATGCAGGTTCGAGTCCTTTCCGCGGACGGCTTCTTTTTTCCTCGTTATTTTTTTCCTCTTGGTCTGAATGAGTTAACCGCATGCTGCACCTTCTCTGTTACAGTTCCATTTCGCCTCTCAGTAAGGACGAAGGTGTCCGCGACTGGCCCTAATGATAAGGCGTCTGACTTCGGATCAGAAGGATATGCAGGTTCGAAGTCCTGTCGCGGACGGTTTTTTTTTTCCTCGTTATTGTCTTCCCTGCTGGCTGAATGAGTTAAAGCATGCTGCACCTTCTCGTGTTACATTTCATTTCGCTCTAATAAAGACGAAGTGTCCGGCGTGCCTAATGGATAAGGCAACTGATTTCGGATCAGATTATTGCAGGTTCGAGTCCTTTCACGGACGGTTTTTTTTTCCTCGTTATTTTCTTCTCTGTGGTGAATGAGTGAACGAATGCTGCACCTTCTATGTTACATTTCATTTCGCTCTAATAACGTAAAATTGTCCGCGTGGCCTAATGGATAAGGCGTCTTACTTCGGATCAGAAGATTGCAGGTTCGAGTCCTGTCGATGACGGTTTTTTTTTCCTCGTTAATTTTTATTCTCGGTGGTGAATGCGTTAAAGCATACCTTCTCTGTTACATTTATTTCTCACAAACAAAAAAAGTGTCCGCGTTGCCTTATGGATAAGGCGTCTGACTTCGGTTCAGACGATTGCAGATTCGTGTCCTGTGGCGGAAGGTTTTTTTTCTTCGGTTTTTCATTCCCGGTGGTGAATGGGTTAAAGCATGCTGTACCTTCTCTGGTACATTTAATTTCTCACTAACAAATGAAAGTGTCCGCGTGGCCTAATGGATAAGGCGTCTGACTTCGGATCAGAAGATTGCAGGTTCGAGTCCTGTCGCGGACGGTTTTTTTTTCCTCGTTATTTTCTTCCCGGTGGTGAATGAGTTAAAGCATGCTGCACCTTCTATGTGACATTTCATTTCGCTCTAATAAAGTAAAATTGTCCGCGTGGCCTAATCGAAAAGGCGTCTGACTTCAGATCAGAAGATTGCAGGTCCGAGTCCTGTCGGGTACGGCTTTTTTTTTCCTTCCTTATTGTTTCCCGGTGGTGAATGAGTTAAAGCATACTGCACCTTCTCTGTTACATTTCATTTCGCTCTAATAAAAAAAATGTTCGCCGTGGCCTAATGAATTAGGCGTCTGACTTCAGATCAGAAGATTGCAGGTTCGAGTCCTGTCGCTGACGGTTTTTTTTCCTCGTTATTTACTTCCCGGTGTTGAATGAGTTAAAGCATGCTGCACCTTCTATTTTGAATTTCAAATTGCTCTAATAAAAGAAAGTGTCGGCGTCACCTAATGGATAAGGCGTCTGACTTCGGATCAGAAGATTCCAGGTTCGAGTCCTGTCGCGGACGGTTTTTTTTTCCTCGTTATTTTCTTCCCTGTGGTGAATGAGTTAAAGCATGCTGCACCTTCTATGTTACATTTCATTTCGCTCTAATAAAGTAAATTGTCCGCGTGGCCTAATGGATAAGGCGTCTGACTTCGGATCAGAAGATTGCAGGTTCGAGTCCTGTCGCGGACTGGTTTTTTTTCCTCGTTAATTATTATTCACGGTGGTGAATGCGTTAAAGCATACCTTCTCTGTTACATTTATTTCTCACAAACAAAAAAGTGTCCGCGTTGCCTTATGGATAAGGCGTCTGACTTCGGTTCAGACGATTGCAGATTCTTGTCCTGTGGCAGAAGGTTTTTTTTTTCCTCGGTTTTTTCATTCCCGGTGGTGAATGGGTTAAAGCATGCTGTACCTTCTCTGGTACATTTAATTTCTCACTAACAAACGAAAGTGTCCGCGTGGCCTAATGGATAAGGCGTCTGACTTCGGATCAGAAGATTGCAGGTTCGAGTCCTGTCGCGGACGGTTTTTTTTCCTCGTTATTTTCTTCCTGTGGTGAATGAGTGAAAGCATGCTGCACCTTCTATGTTACATTTCATTTCGCTCTAATAAAGTAAAGTGTCCGCGTGGCCTAATGGATAAGGCGTCTGACTTCGGATCAGAAGATTGCAGGTTCGAGTCCTGTCGCGGACGGTTTTTTTTCCTCGTTATTTCTTCTCGGTGGTGAATGAGTTAAAGCATGCTGCACCTTCTCTGTTACATTTCATTTCGCTCTAATAAAGACAAGTGTCCGCGTGGCCTAATGGATAAGGCGTCTGACTTCGGATCAGAAGATTGCAGGTTCGAGTCCTGTCGCGGACGGTTTTTTTTCCTCGTTATTTTCTTCCCTGTGGTGAATGAGTTAAAGCATGCTGCACCTTCTATGTTACATTTCATTTCGCTCTAATAAAGTAAAATTGTCCGCGTGGCCTAATGGATAAGGCGTCTGACGTCAGAATCAGAAGTATTGCAGGTTCGAGTCCTGGTCGCGGACGGCTTTTTTTTCTTCCGTATTGTTTCCCTGGTTGGTGTGAATGAGGTTAAAGCATAGCGGCAACCATATCTCTGTTACATTCAGTTCGCAAATCTACATAAAGGAAGAGTGTCCGCGTGGCCTAATAGGATAAGGCGTCTGACTTCTGATCAGAAGATTGCAGGTTCGAGTCCTGTCAGCGGACGGTTTTTTTTCCTCGTTATTTACTTCCCGGTGGTGAATGAGATTAAAGCATGCTGGCACCTTCTAGTGTTGATATTTCAAATTCGCTCGACAATTAAAAGAAGAAGTGTCCGGCGTGAGCCTAATGGAGAAGGCAGTCTAGCTTCGGGATAAGAGTATTGCCAGGTTCGAGTCCTGTCAGCGGACGGTTGTTTTTCCTCGTTATTTTTTTCTTCCTGTGGTGAATGAGGTTGAAATGCATGCTGCACCTTCGAGTTTAAATTTCATTTCGCTCTAATAAAGGCGAAGTGTCCGCGTGGCCTAATGGATAAGGCGTCTGACTTCGGATCAGAAGATTGCAGGTTCGAGTCCTGTCGCGGATGGTTTTTTTCCTCGTTATTTTCTTCCCGGTGCTGAATGAGTTAAAGCATGCTGCACCTTCTCTGTTACAGTTCATTTCGCTCTCATAAAGACGAAGTGTCCGCGTGGCCTAATGGATAAGGCGTCTGACTTCGGATCAGAAGATTGCAGGTTCGAATCCTGTCGCGGACGGTTTTTTTTCCTCGTTATTTTCTTCCCTGTGGTGAATGAGTTAAAGCATGCTGCACCTTCTGTGTTACATTTCATTTCGCTCTAATAAAGACGAAGTGTCCGCGTGGCCTATGGATAAGGCGTCTGACTTCGGATCAGAAGATTCCAGGTTCGAGTCCTGTCGCGGACGGTTTTTTTTTCCTCGTTATTTTCTTCCCTGTGGTGAATGAGTTAAAGCATGCTGCACCTTCTATGTTACATTTCATTTCGCTCAATAAAGTAAATTGTCCGCGTGGCCTAATGGATAAGGCGTCTGACTTCGGATCAGAAGATTGCAGGTTCGAGTCCTGTCGCTGGACGGTCTTTTTTCTCCTCGTTAATTTTTATCTCACGGTGGTGAAATGCGTTAAGCATACCTTCTCTGTTTACATTTATTTCTCACAAAAAAGTGTCCGCGTTTGCCTTATGGATAAGGCGTCTGACTTCGGTTCAGACTGATTGCAGATTCGGTCCTGTGGCGGAAGGTTTTTTTTTTTGCCTCGGTTATTTCATTCCCGGCTGGTGAATGGGTTAAAGCATGCTGTTACCTTCCTCTCGGTACATTTCATGTTCTCACTAACAAATGAAAAGTGGTCCGCGTGGCCTATGGATAAGGCGTCTGACTTCGGATCAGTAAGATTGCAGGTTGAGTCCTGGTCGCGGACGGTTTTTTTTTCCTCGTTATTTCTTCCCGGTGGTGAATGAGTTAAAGCATGCTGCACCTTCTATGTGACATTTCATTTCGCTCTAATAAAGTAAAATTGTCCGCGTGGCCTAATCGAAAAGGCGTCTGACTTCAGATCAGAAGATTGCAGGTCCGAGTCCTGTCGGGGACGGCTTTTTTTTCTTCCTTATTGTTTCCCGGTGGTGAATGAGTTAAAGCATACTGCACCTTCTCTGTTACATTTCATTTCGCTCTAATAAAAAAAATTGTCCGCGTGGCCTAATGAATAAGGCGTCTGACTTCGGATCAGAAGATTGCAGGTTCGAGTCCTGTCGCGGACGGTTTTTTTTTCCTCGTTATTTACTTCCCGGTGTTGAATGAGTTAAAGCATGCTGCACCTTCTATTTTGAATTTCAAATTGCTCTAATAAAAGAAAGTGTCGGCGTGACCTAATGGATAAGGCAACTGATTTCGGATCAGATTATTGCAGGTTCGAGTCCTGTCACGGACGGTTTTTTTTTCCTCGTTATTTTTTCTCTGTGGTGAATGAGTGAATGCATGCTGCACCTTCTATGTTACATTTCATTTCGCTCTAATAAAGGCGAAGTGTCCGCGTGGCCTAATGGATAAGGCGTCTGACTTCGGATCAGAAGATTCCAGGTTCGAGTCCTGTCGCGGACGGTTTTTTTTTCCTCGTTATTTTCTTCCCTGTGGTGAATGAGTTAAAGCCGACGATATTGCTGTGTTCTGCGAAGATCGGGAGAGAGTATCAGAGAAGCACTAACGATGTGAAATTCTTCTGTGATTGCACTGACAGTAGAGTCAACTGGTGTAAATGTCTTGGAATATGGCACGGAAATTGGCAGAGCACACCATCAATATTTCAAAGCATTACATGGAAGGTTATACCTGACAAGTACTTAAGTGGTACCTCTCCAACACTAAAGGGACACAAAAGAATATTGGAAACAAGAGACAGAGCAACTAAGAGACAAGACAAAAACGTGGAGTGGGCATGATTTCTCAATGTTTACGAGGTCAACAGTGAGCAACATATTTCTTATTTCAAGAGTATGGTATTTTTTACAAGTGCTATTCATGTCACGTGTTGCTGTACAAAAGCTACACAGAGTGATGGCAGTGTTTATCTGGGCGTCCACGTGGGAAAGGACAAGCCGAACAAATCTGTTCCGTTCTGTGAAAAGTGGGGGGCTTGGTCTTGTACACTTGTTTCTGAGGCAGATAGTATCTAGGTCTGTTTTTTTACGAGATCAAGCAGATCGGTTTTTTTTTAGAACGTTGATACATGTGCGGCTGTCCCATTTTTTGCCTGATTTTATTGTAACCACAGTCAATCGGGTGACAAAAAGACCTATGGGGTACATGAAAGAAGTGATTGCTGCTTTGGAAATATTGAGAGTGCGATTTTCGATGGAGTATCTCTCTGGGGTTTCGCGAAAGAGACTGTACAAGGACCTTGTAGAAACCATGTTGCCAGAACCTCTGTATAGAACACTGTACCCTAATGGGCCAGAGGATGATGTCTTGAAAAGAGTGAAGAAGATGCCAATTAGACCATCAATGAAGACATTCCTTTTCAAACTTCACAGTGGCACACTTCCTACCAATCCATGGCTCCAAGAAAAAGGAATATTCGTTCCGTCAGTTGATTGCATTCTCTGCAGAAAACTTGAGACAGTTGACCACATCTTTGAAGACTGTACTGATGCAGTCTTTCTCTGAGACATCCTTCAAAGGACCCTGAAGAAAGACCTGCCAGTTACACAGTATGGCATCCGTTTTTTGCCAGTCATAAATGTAGGCGGTGTGCCCTACGATATGTTCATGGTATTGGTTTTTCACAGTGCGTGGCGAACACAGATGGCAGTGCGAAACGTAGACGTGAATCCCCGGCCCGCTCGAGAGTACTTCATAGAAAGTGAACAGTATTTGATGACTGCATACGAGGCACAACATAAGCCAGAGTGGTTGCCATGTTTAGATAAGTTGGTGGGCATAAAGCGTCCGCCTTTTTAACCCCCATGTGCAGGAAGATGTGACAGCGCTTTTACACGTGACACTGCACTGTATCCTTATATTGATTTGTACTGTTTGCGAAGCAGGCAATAAAGAAGAAAAAAGTCCGCGTGGCCTAATGGATAAGGCGTCTGTCTTTGGATCAGAAGATTGCAGGTTCGAGTCCTGTCGCGGACGGTTTTTTTTCTTCGTTATATTTTTCCTGGTGTTGAATGAGTTCAAGCATGCTGCACCTTCTATGTTACATTTCTTTTCGCTTTAATGAAGAAGAACTGCCCGCGTGGCCTAATGGATAAGGCGTCTGACTTCGGATCAGAAGATTGCAGGTCCGAGTCCTGTCGCGGACGGTTTTTTTTCCACGTTATTTTTTTATTCCTGTTGGTAATGGGTTAAAGCATGCTGTACCTTCTCTATTACAATAAATTTCTCTTTAACAAACAAATGTGTCGGCGTGGCCTAATGAATAAGACGTCTGACTTCGGATCAGACGATTGCAGGTTCATGTCTTGTGGCGGACGGTTTTTTTTCCCTCGTTTTTTTTTTTATTCCCGGTGGTGAGTGGGTTAAAGCTTGCTGTACCTTCTCTGTTACATTTAATTTCTCACTAATAAACGACAGTGTCCGCGTGGCCTAATGAATAAGGCATCTGACTTCAGATCAGAAGATTGCAGGTTCGAGTCCTGTCGCGGATGGTTTTTTTCTCGTTATTTTTTTATTCACGGTGGTGGATGGGTTAAAGCATGCTGTACCTTCTCTGTTACAATTATTTCTCACTAAGAAACAAAAGTGTCCAGGTGGCCTAATGGATAAGGCGTCTGACTTCGGTTCAGAATATTTCAGGTTCGAGTCCTGTCACGGACGGTTTATTCTTTCCTCGTTATTTTTTTCCCGGTGGTGAATGAGTGAAAGCATGCTGCACCTTCTATGTTAGATTTCATTTCGCTCTAATGAAGACAAAGTAACCGCGTGGCCTAATGGATGAGGCGTCTGACTTCGGATCAGAAGATTGCAGGTTCGAGTCCTGTCGCGGACGGTTTTTTTCCTTGTTATTTTTTTATTCCCGGTGGTTTATGAGTTAAAGCATGCTGCACCTTCTTTGTTACATGTCATTGCTCTCTAACAAACAAAAGTGTCCGCGTGGCCTCATAGATAAGGCGTCTCACTACGGATCAGACGATTGCAGATTCGTGTCCTGTGGCGGACAGTATTTCTTTCACGTTTTTTTTATTCCCGTTGGTGAATGGGTTAAAGCTTGCTGTACCTTTTCTGTTACATTTAATTTCTCACTAAGAAACGAAAGTGTCCGCGTGGCCTAGTGGATAAGGCGTCTTAATTCGGATCAGAAGATTGCAGGTTCGAGTCCTGTCGCGGACGGTTTTTTTCCTCCTTATCTTTTTATTCCCGGTGGTGAATGGGTGAAAGCATGCTGTACCTTCTCTGTTACATAAAATTCCTCTCTAACAAACAAAACTGTCCGCGGGGGCTAATGGATAAGGCGTCTGACTTCGGATCAGAAGATTGCATATTCGAGTCATGTGGCGGACGGTTTTTTTCCTCGTTATTTTTTTATTCCCGGTGGCGAATGGGTGAAAGCATGCGGTACCTTCTCTGTTACATTAAATTTCTCACTAAGAAACGAAAGTGTCCGCGTGGCCTAATTTTTTTTCCATGGTATTTATAAAGTTCTTGGGCAATAAAGACAAAAACAAGCGAACAAAAGTACAATCAAATCGTGAAAGTAAGCGTTCAAGC